TTGAATCCATGTTTCAATTGTGAATCTTTCTCTTAAAGTGATATTGGCTGGGATCCAAAATGATTTTAAAATGTCTTTTATTCATTCATTTATTAAAACATTTTAATTCTGTCCCAGGCACTTGTGAGGAAAAAAAAGTTTCTGTAACAATCACTGTTAACCTCTATTGTTCTAAATGTTCTAAATGCATTATCATATTTAATTTTTACAACCCTATACAGTAAGCTCTCATCTCCATTTGACAAGTGTTGAAAACTGAAGCATAGTGAAGTTAGGTTACTTGCCAAAATTCATCCATACATGAGAGATGGTTTGTGTCCTCCATATTCCTAATACCAGCAAGGGAAATGAAACATGGATAAACAACCACAATGCAGGGTAGTGCCATGTGAATGTCATAAGCAGAGTTCAGGTGACAACTGGTCTAGGGTCCTGGAAGAGCAGTGGCCGTTTTCATCTGAAATTTTCATGGAGAAATCTGCACCCATATCTCCTCAAAAGGGATTTTACAGTATTTTTTCTGATTCAGGTCAGCCAAAGGATGAAGTATTGACTCTTTTCTTTCTTTTTTTATTTTTTATTTTTTGAGATGGAGTCTCACTCTGTTGCCCAGGTGGGAGTGCAGTGGCACATTCTCAGCTCACTGCAATCTCCACCTCCTGGGATCATTTCAGTAAACCCTGGAAGAGACGGGGACCTGAGATTTCCTTTTCTATTGAGGAAACAACAGTGAATTCTCTGCTGACAACTTGATGATCTCCCTTGAAATTCCTTAGGGGAGATGGCATAGTGTTCGCAATCAGAATGTATGTGTATATAAAACGAGCCCCAAACTCAAATGTTGCCCATTCATGTACATTGAAGGAATTCAGTTGTCTTTATTTTTATTTTTTTGAGACAGGATCTCGCCCTGTCACCCAGGTTGGAGTGCAGTGGTCCAGTCATGACTCACTGTAACTTTGATCTCCTGGGCTCAAGCAATCTTCCCTCCTTAGCCTCTGGAACAGCCAGGACTACAGGCATGTACCACCATGCCCAGCTAATTTTTTTTTTTTTCTTTTTTTTAAGAGCTGCGGTCTCGCTATGTTACCTAGGCTGGTCTTGAATTCCTAGACTCAAACAGTCCTCCCACCTGGCCGTCCCAAAGTGCTGGGATTACAGACGTGAACCACCGTGCCTGACTAGTCTTTATTTTTTTTCTCTCTTGTTTTTCTCCTTTCGTCTCCTTTCCTTTATTAGTGAGACTCAAATTAACTTTTCAAAAATCATAGGTGTTATTGTTTCTACACTAAAAGTCACAGGGTACAGTTAAACTCCACATTGTCCAGTTAAAGCATAGCTCACCGTTGGGCAGTGCAGGTTCAAATAAGGAGAAGAACAGCCTTGTCTTAGGCCTCTCCTGGCATCCACTCTCTGTAAGTCCTTCCTTGCTAGCATTATGCAAACAGCCATCTTAAAGCAGGCCACGAATGATTAGAAAACGTACCTGTGCTGTTAAAAATAGCTGCCCATTCCCTTCTGTAGTCAGCTGGTTGCTACTTTTGCCTCTTCTTGTCCAGTGTTCAAAACGTTCTGCTATTTTGTGATCATCTATGTTGATGGGAGAATAAGGAAAGATGAAGTGAATTAAATTGATTATTTGAGAGCCATTCCCCAAATCTTTAATTGGCATTTTTGTTTTTGTTTTTTTTTAAAGATATTAATTAAGAGCAAAAGTTTCTTACCTTGGTATTAGTGCCTCTGCCTCTCACCTCTGTCAGCTGCAGAGGATGAAAGGGTGCAGAGGGAGGGAGAGTGATGGGTAGCCGCGGGCATGCCTGACTCACAGACTGGATAATCAGCTCTGGAATAATTCTGGGTTGGCTGCATTTGTAGTGATTCTGGTCACAAATTGTGAAGAACAGCTTTTTCCCTTGTCCCCACCTTCGTATTGTCAAATTATTGCTGTGCTAGCCCAATTAAAATGCTTGAGGATCCCCTCACTTGCATAGAGCCTTAGACCCTGGATGACTGTGGACTCACCGTGACAAGGCTCTGAGAGCACTGAATGACAGTGCTGAATGAAGGAGAAAAGTAAACAAGGCCTCTGTTGCCTAAATAGTTGTGCAATTAGCAGTACCAATGGGAACAGAGCTACTAATGAGTCTAGGCTGCTCATATTCATGGAATTTCTTTCAAGAGGAGCAGCTTAGAATGTTCGCTGAAGGTGACAGGCACTCTTTAAGAGGACCATTGGTCACTTAAGCCCCTTGCTGACGTTGTAAAGAGTGCCCTGTCGGCAGCTAAATAGGCCTGAGGTGCTTAGTTCTCAGGACATAGAATTTGAGTCAACAAGTGGCTTCACATGTAAGTGGGAGTAAAACAACCCTTTCATACCACCTTCCTTCACTGAGGATCCCATATCTTGACATAGTGTGACCTGTATCAGGACAGAGAATAGGACACTTCATGCTATCTAAAGTTGAAGCAGTACCTGTGGTGTTCCAGACACTGTTTCAAACACACTATGTGTATTGACTCTTTTCTTTCTTTTTTTATTTTTTATTTTTTGAGATGGAGTCTCACTCTGTTGCCCAGGTGGGAGTGCAGTGGCACATTCTCAGCTCACTGCAATCTCCACCTCCTGGGATCAAGCGATTCTCCTACCTCAGCCTCCTGAGTAGCTAGGATTACAGGCACACACCACCATGCCGGGCTAATTATTGTATTTTCAGTAGAGACAGGGTTTCACCATGTTGGTCAGGCTGGTCTCAAACTCCTGACCTCAAATGATCCACCCACCTTGGCCTCCCAAAGTGCTAGGATGACAGGTGTGAGCCACCATGCCCAGCCCTCTTGAACTCTCACAACAACCCTGTGAGATAAATATTATTATTAATTTGACTTTACATGTGTGATAACCAAGGGCTGAGAGATTAATTAGACTTGGCCAAGACCTAGTCTGTAGTAGAGCTGGGATTTTTAACCAAGAAGGGATGGCTCGAGAAACCTCACCCCTGCTCACTGTCCTGTCCTGCTCTGCACTTTTGGGATGTATGTGGGAGGATGAGGATCATTATTCATGTTTTCTTAGAATCACAGGACCAAGGAACAAAGAGCCATGAGTTAAATCTTTGTTGTTTCCTTAATATAGGGTAGGTGCTAGAAGGATACAAAAAACAACTAAAGTGTTCTTATATTCAACAGATATAGAAAAATTTGTTTATGGAAGGCATGCATTCAAAAAGTGAATACATAGTATGAGGGTAGAACCAAATAAGTGCTTTGGGAGTTGAGAGAAAGAATACATTCCCTCTGTCAAAGGTCATCTTTTGAGAGGACCTTGTCACAGACTAGCCTTTGAAGAACATGTCAGATTTAGACAGGTGGCTATTCTGGGTAGGGAGAGCTGGAAAGCCTGAGAAATACATGGTTGAGTGTGCAGTTACCACTTTAGCTTTTGTGAAAAAAGAAAATGGAACCCTGGGAACAAATTGAGGAAATGTAGTTCCAGATGAAGGACTGTGAACTCCAGTGTTTAAATACTTGGAAGTAAGCAGGGGATATGATGTATTGGAAACCTAGAACTCTAGATGATGTGAGACCTTCTTATCTTTCTTAGTAACTACTTCTGCATGCTAATAATGTTCCAGGTAGATACCCATTAGGAAGTGTATTTGTCAAATAGGACAAACAGAAAAGACGAATAGGAGAGACTTTGTAAGAGAAGATTCACTTGGTCCCAGTGAATAGCAGGTGTGAAAGAGAAGAGGTCAAGATGATTTGGATGACCAGGAGAATTATGAAATCCCATAACATCTCTGTTATATTGTCCTTGGCCAATGACTTTCATGGTGAGAGTGATAAGCTCTTTCACCCCTTCTTACTATGCACGACAAGTTAATTTTTAATAATAATGATAGCCACCAATAAAGAGAGCAAATCCCCAGGATCATCTTTCTAAAGACTAAAATACTCAATACCTGACACTTACAGGCATATTTATTCATCCATTCAACCAAATATTTAAGCATCTACTTATCTCCAGGCTCTATACTAGGCACCAAGGAATGACACAATGCTAGACAAAGCATGGGCCAAAACTTTAAGGGGTTTTCTGGAGTAGGGAGAGATAAATCAGTAAGTTATTTTAAAGTAGTTTGTTAAGTGTCATGATCATATATCCCCCCTTGCCTGGGGTGGTCCTCACTTGGATGATAAATCCCATTACCCATTCAACTATAGGAAATAGGGTCAGTACATAAAGTGAGGGATTGTATAGGCAGGTGTTTAATAAGCTGTTTGAAGTGGGATCATAAAGGGCTTTATGGGGAAAAAAGTCTCAGCTGATACCACAGGCTGAAGAGGGCGAGAGATGACAGGGAGAGAAGCAGTGATACAGAGCTAGAAAGGTGGACATTCCAAGCAGCGTTTGTAGACTGAATGGATTAATTCGTGAACACATAAAACACTGTGAAAGGGAAATTCATAGAATATTTCCATTCCTAAGGATGCATCTATAGTCATTTGATGTATATGCATAGCATTTCTTTCTGGTCTGAGAAGGGAAATTTTATAACAAGTGGAATTGTACCCTAGATGATATATATAAAATGTCGTACAGCCTTAATATTATGCTTCATAAGATGCCATCCCAAGCAACTTGTTTGAGAATGAGAAATGGCCCTGATTCCTAAACCCCACCTGATCTGCCCCTTTCTCCCTAGTTAGCCACTTAATTATTTTTCAGTTATTCTATTTCAGTTTTATTTTGTAAACTTGATTGAAAGCTTCTTGACAGCAGAGACCATACCATTCTTTTGTATCTACCATTCTGTACATATTGGTTCATGGAGACTGGGAGTTTGGTAATGAGGAGGTAGAGGGATCCTTTTATTTTTGTTTTTGTCTTATTATTCCTATCCCCAAATTTAGCCTTCGTTTTGTTACTATAGATTTTCTGTTAATGTTTAGTTTTTGAGCTTATTTTTTGATGGTCATCTTGCTTTCTTCTCATTTAGGACCTTCCGAGTTATTGGATATGGCAGACAGTGAAACGTGAGTGTTGCCTTTTATTACATAGTCTAGGTTATTTTCTTCAGAACATATCTGGGAGAAGAATGTAATCTATAGGGCATATTGTAGGTAATTTTAATTTAATTAATTCAAAGTCCACTTTCAACTTTGTTCATAACTGTGCAGGGCTAATTGCCTAAATAAATAATTACACAATAGAAACTGATGACAATTGTCATAATGCTTGCCTCCACAGTCAGTGCTAATCATCATTTAGAACTTGCTTCAAGCAATGTACTTCTGCACTGGTGCATCTTGGAATGCTGAGAAGTCTAAATAATTACACTTACCTTTTAATGTACCCATCACATTTGTTCTTTCTCAGCTGGAGTTTCTGAGAAAATGGGACCCTACTGCCCTCAGGCATTATGCACATGTAGTGACATAACTTCTCTCTGTTAGTCTAGAACAGCACAAGTTATGAACCACCACTGAAGAACTAAGAACATAGTTACTCTATCTTCTGTCTTCTATGGTTCAGAGAAGGCATGCTGATTGAAAAAGTCATCAGCTCTGGGATGGTGTCTAAACTGATGATAATGTTTGTTTTCAACCTTATTTCTAAAGCAGCAAAATAGTTACTCCTCCCCAAACAGGAACAAAGTTAGGCTGTACAACTAATCCTGAAAGCCGTATTTGAAAAGGTATAAAGATGAATTGGTGTGGAGAGGAATGAGGTGGTGAGTAGCTAAGCACGTGGGATGGAGGAGAAGTAGAAATGAATAGAATGGAGGACGAATGAAAAGCAGTAGGGCTGTGGAAGAAGCTGTCTATCACTCTATAGAGCTGGTCCACATGCCAGCACATCCTATTTGCAAGATTGTAAGTGGTGCCATTACTTACCCCTTTTTGCCTTCTCTAAAGGCTGCTATTGATTTTTCCTGAAATACTGTGGCATTAAGCATCTTGGTGCCTTTGGGCTCAGGATAGGAATACCCTCCTCCCTATAGAGCCTGTCAGTGATGGGGAAATAGCCAGTTTCCCTTGCCCCTTCCCACACTGAGTGGCTGGCCTCAAGCCTGCTGCCTCCTGGGGAGAGCCCTGGCTCTCAAACTCTCCCAGAGTCTCACTGTGCCTCTCAGATATCCTCTGTGGCTGCCCGCTCCTTCCACCTGCCACTCACACAGAATCTAAAGTGGATAGAGCAGAGTGGGTGTTGGCCTGGCGTTTTGAACTTGGGTTCTCAGGAGATACTCCACTGTAGGCCGAGTGACCATCAACCAAGGGCCGTGTGCTGTGCCTGAAGGGCCAGAGGCGCTCCATGCTGCTCCCTGTTCTTTCACCCAGTGCCTTTCTCACTCTACTCAAATGTATGCACAGAGAGAATGTCTTCAGTGTTCAGATACATCTAGACAATTAGTCTGTTTAATACTGCATTGACGATCACCTAAATCAAATGGTGGTAGCTTCTTTAAAAAATTACTAAACCTAGTTAATCAGCACTGTTTGGAAAGGGGGCTGGAGTCAGATATTATGATCAGGTGATGACTAGCTCAAGGAATTTTTAGAAATCCCCTTTCCCACCTCCCCAGAATGTACCCTACAGCCAAGATCTCAGCAGCCTATAGGGAAGGAGGCTGAGGAGCACCCCGACATCAGCTCCCCTCACCCCATTCCCTGCTACCTCCAACCCCTTTATGGGTGGTTTCCCATTTCCTCTTTGATTTAGGGGTGAGACTGCACTGCACAAGGCTGCCTGCCAGCGGAACCGGGCTGTGTGCCAGCTTCTGGTGGATGCAGGAGCATCTCTGAGAAAGACGGACTCCAAGGTAACTCGATGAGTGAGTGCAAACATCCTCCCACTGGGCAAGATCGCAGGCACTGTTGCCTTTGCTTGTGACCATAGCACGGACATCCTTTCTGTGCTTATGGAAGTGCCTGGGGCTTTGGAAAAAGGAGGAAAAAATAGAGTGCTTCATTTAGAGAAACTGTGATTTAAATGTATAAGCACAAAGGGAGGGCGTGTGCTTGCCTATGGGGCTTTATAAACCTCTGAACACGTTGGCCTTGGGACATTGGGGTTGTCCTACTGAACGCTAGCAGCCAAGTCATGGGAGTTGAGGTCTGAAGCCCAAGGAGAGGGGTCAGGACCATGTTCAAAGACTTTGGCCTGACTACTGAGAAGCCCCTTTGGGGTTTTACTTCAGTACTTATTCCAGCGTGGTTTAAATTCTATGATTTATATGGCCCCTTATATGGGTGCCAAAGGGATTATTTCCCAGCTCCCAGGACGGTGGGCTCTGGCTTTGAGATGGTTACAGTCTTAAATCTGGTGTGTTTATGTAGTTCTTCATTTAAAAAAGTTTCTTTCCATTTGTTTTCTAATATTCTCTAAAAGTTAACCTCAGAAATTAGATAGCATGGGAATTACTGTCATTTACAGCTATAGGAGCTAAAAGCCTAGAGAAAGTTACACATACCCTTGGACCAGTAGCTGAGCCTTAAATTAAACTGAGCTCTTTTGACGGCAGTCCAGTGTTGTTTCAGCAGGTTGGTGGTTCTTATTTGGTGCCAGAACACACTAGCCACATAACAAAATCGGTTTATTTATGGAATCTGTTTGATTGAGGTACAGTGATTCCTGTGGCACTTGGCTAGAAATGTGGTTGGTTTCTCCACAGCAAAAGTTACGTAAATCTGAATTTCAGTGTCCACTTTCTTATAACTGTCTTAATAAGAGGGCAGTGAGGCCAGAAATGGGTAATGTGACATGTGTGCCAACCTTGATAGCATCAGCTGGCAGAGATGAGGCCTCAGGGGGAAATTCTGTTCAGAAGAACTGAGAACAGGCTGCACCACGAGTTGTTTCAGTTTACAGAGAGCACCCAAGAGAAAGAGTTGAAAGATAGAGGAAAGAAAGAGTTGTAGCTTAGTAGAGTTGACCCAGGGCTCAGGCTATAAGATAGGAGAGAGAGAGAGAGAGAGAGAGGAGTTAGTTTACATAGAAGATCAACCCCATAGAGCAGGGGTGTCCAGTCTTTTGGCTTCCCTGGGCCACATTGGAAAAATAAGAATTGTCTTGGACCACACATGAAATACACCAACACTAGAAATAGCTGATGAGCTGAAAAAAATAAAAATTGCAAAAAAAATCTTGTGATGTTTCAGAAAGTTTACAAATTTGTGTTAAGCCTCATTCAAAGTCATCGTGGGCCGCATATGGCTTGCAGGCTGCGGTTTGGACAAGCTTGCCATAGAGGATTCTGATAAGCTCTGAGAGTTTTAGAACACTCTCAGTAGACTCCAGGAAATAATGAACCACTTAACTATAGAAACTTACAGAGAAGAATCTTAGTATATAGTCGAGGCCTTCATTACTCAGGTACCAAGTAGCTCAGGTTTTGGGCCCATGATTGTAACCATGACACATAGACAGATTACTTAGAAACCTAATTAATAACTTAAGCTCCATTAGATTTATGTAAGTGATAAGAATCTGCCTATGTGTAATTTTTTCTCTGGGGCCTCCTCAATCTGCAGTTCACTTTATGAGATAACTTTGTCTCCCAAGTGAACCTCTTTCCTTTCTGAGCCAGTTGTATTGCATAGAAGTCTCCACTTCCCTGGCAGCCCATGAGCACCCTTGGCCTCTAACTGAAATCCCTGGCTGCCTAGGCATACCAAACACACTTGAGCTGTGGCCTGGTTTCCAGTGGTCTGTTACCTGTCTGGCTAGCTAACTGGGTACAGTATTTCAAATGGCAGATACTTAGGTTGGTGCAAAAGTCATTGCAGTTTTTGCTACTAAAAGTAATAATTTCTCAATGCGATGTTCTTCCCAGATGTTATTTGCACTCAGATGTTTGGATGTTTAACCTGATTGAGAAATAGACGACTTGTAGTCAGGATTAATGGAGCCAGGTTTTGGAGTAGGGTTGGTCTTGCCAGGGCCACTCAGACCATAGCAGGGCAACTGCCTCTTTACCACACAAAGGCTGGTCCTACACTCAACTCAGATCGTTTTAAAGACAGAGAGAAGCCATGAAAAAGAAGGTCAGACCGAACAGGAGTCAGGAGACCTGGCTCTTGAGCAGGTCTTCTTTTTTATCTTTCTAAGTTTCTGAATCAGATAAAGGACTCAATGTGCATGGAAACTTGTTTCTATTTTGTGTTGTGTATGTGTCTGTTTTTTTTTTTTTTTTTTTTAAAGAAATAGCTTGTTTTTATAATTATAAACCCCTCACATAGAAAACGAGTAATGTAGGAAGATATGCTCCAAAAAGCCAAAAATTGCTGGAAACCCCACAGCCTGGACCTAGATATAATTAAACTTGTAATGATCCCTCTTCACATGTAGATATGCCTGTTTTTCTCTCTCACTGTTTTTAACTACATGAAGTCATACATACATGATATCATACAACTTTTACTCAACGTTATATTCTAGAGATCTTTCTACATGAAATAATGTAGCTATACTTCATTACTTTTTGAGGATTTTTAAATTTTGCCATTCTGTAACTTGACGCTAGGTTGAAGTTGACTGTGATAATTACAACTGAAACTTCTCCTGGAATTTTTTGGAGAGAAGCAGCATCCTGAGAATTTCTCCTATTAGAGATCAGTTCCTTAGAAATCAAGTCAAAGGCCCACCTCAGCCACCTCTCTGAATATTTGAAACCTGGAAATTCCAACCTCATTATTATGGAAGTAAAGACACGATTATCTACTAAGGCTGCAAACAAGTTGAATAAAAATTATCATAGGAACTTCAAACTGGTGGTTAACTGCTAAATCTCAAGTAAATAAGTAAAATTTTAGAAATATTCTAGAGCCATTGTTACTTCCCTTTTATCCTATCCCTAGTAGGCTATGTAGAGCCGGTTGGATTGAGGTCACCCGTATCTGTGGGGATAGCTGAGATGAAAACTGAGAAGTCTGTGATAATATTTATAAAACTTGTATGCATTTGTACATGGAGCTATTTCTTTGGTGCAACGATCATGCGTCTACCCTTCCTTTGGAACTTAACATAACATTTTAAATAGCTAAAACTATATATTGAACAAAAATTAGAAATTTTGAGTGATGCTAAGTAATTCCAACAGGCGATCAAACAAATGGACACCCTTTCTCCCTTTACTGCTGACTTCTTATTCAATGACTTCTCATTAAAAAAATTTAATGACTCATTTAATGACTTCTCATTAAAAAAATCAATATATATACAAATGTGTGTGTATATGTGTCTATACAAATGTACAAAAGGCATTATAGTAGTCTGTAAGAAATTATATGACCATTTAAAATGTTGATGTAAAAAATTAATGACAAAAATTTATGATATAATACTAAGAAAGTTTGTAAAACAGTACATAAATGAATTGTGGTTTTTTTAAAATAAAAATATGTATAGAGACGTATAAAAGACAAAAGCTAGTTATCAATGGAAGGTTAGTAGTGGTTATCTTAGTTTGGTGGAATGATTAGGGATATTCCTTGTCTTCTTTGTGGTTTTCAAGTTTTCTAAGATTTCTTTAATCAATATCTACCTCTTTTGTATTGAGAAACTAGCTTAGTTTTCAGAGAGATGAAATAGCTATAAATTGGTGAGAACTTCACTGAAGTCTGAAACCAACAAAGACATCTTTCAAATGTTTTATGACTATCCCTTCCTTTTAGTTTCTGCATGTTCATTTCCCAAGTTTAGAATAATAGAAAGAGTCCTAAACTAGAAATCTAAATGCTTGTCTCCGTGTTTTTTAAATTCAGTAATTTCTATCTCCCTATCTTCCAGAAAGGCTCTGGGTTTCAAAACTCACTTTACCCCACTGTTTCCTCCTGTGTACCGTTAACCTCTGTGAGCTTCTGTTTCCCTAGTATAAACCCCACCCATCAAAAGTGATAAACTCTTTCCCTTTAATTTACCAATCGCACATGTTCAATTTAATGCTCATATAAAACAATAGATTTGAAAGTGTCTTGTAAACTCTAAAACACCAAATGTGAAAGGATCCTTACTAGCAAGTATCTTTGGGGAGCTCTGTTTCTGTGATTTTTGTTTTGTTTTGTTTTGTTTTTGTATTTCATAACTAGTACTTGTCTCTCTCTCTCTCTTTCTCTCTCTCTCTCTTTCCGTTATTTACGTATAGGGTAAGACACCTCAAGAGAGAGCACAGCAGGCTGGGGACCCAGACTTGGCTGCTTACCTAGAAAGCCGTCAGAACTATAAGGTCATTGGCCATGAGGACCTGGAAACTGCTGTTTGACCCTGGTATTCAGGCAAAGAGAACGTGAGCAAGCGTATCACATCTGCCCTCCCTGCGATCGGGCAGCTCCCCTGGAAGAAGCTGATGGAATTCATATATCTGTCTCTCTCCTGCAAGAATCTACCTGAGACCATGCCACTAGTTTTTAAGGGCTACCAAGATGTACAACAGAACATGATAGCCCATTGAGAAGGAGGCAGGATACCTGGAGATTTGTGGAATACAGTACAAGTTCCACAAAATTTGATCCTTATTGCTTCCAGCAAGTAGCATGAACTTCTGTGTTCACCTGTATAATTTATTTTAAAGATTCAAAGGATGTTCGTATAAACGGCACTGCTCCATCCTCCTCCATGCATTGATTTTTTTTCCCTGTACCATACAATTCTACTGTAACTACCCATTAACTTTAAAAAATATATATTATCTCTTCTCTTTACATTCAGTCTTGGAAGACCACAAGATTGTCTGAAGGCCTTCTAAAACCCTCTGAATGTCCTGCAGAAATATAACTGTAAAACCACTTCCATTTCCAAGACTAAATATATCAAGACTATTTAGTGACTCTCTCTGCATGTCCCCACCACCCCCCAACCCTCCGTTTCACTATATAGGAGCTGGGAAGTGCCACATGGATAATGTCAACTTGTGTGCTGTATTTCTGAGGAATGGTGAGGTGGCATGGGAGATGTCTGTGCTTGGAGGTACCTCAGAGAGGTAACCCAGGGGTCAGCCCAGGCTGCTGGGCTGTAGCCAATAGCCATGCAGGACTGGTTCAGCTTGGGCTGTCTGTACAGCTCCGTACTGCCTATGTGTAGCCATCTTTGCCTTTTGCTGCAATAGAAGATGAGCAAAGGATTAAACAGAGGCCCACAGCTAGTTTGCAGAACCACTCAATTTTAAGTGCTGTTTAAATTGCAGAGGAGATATTCATGTGTGGGAACTGTGGTTACAGGAAATGGAGCACTCTAACAATGTTTACTTCTAAACTTTGTTGAGCGATAATAGAAAGCACCCTAATTGACTTGAAAAAAACAAAAGCAAAAGCAAAAGTAGTAACATATGTCAACATATGTCACTGAAGTAGAAAACAGTCATTGGGATGTTGCACAAAGGCTAATAACTATAGACTGTTGGATACAGTGGTGAGAGGAGCCCCGTTTTAGGTCTTTCTTTTAGGTTTTTGGTTTTTATTACTCCAAGTAATCCTTGACCCAAGGACAAAGGTTTATTGTATGAGTTCCACTGCCAGATTTATGGGATGCCCAGATCATTCAGAAGGATGCTTCAACTATTATTTGTCAGGTCCAAAGGTCGTACTTGATAACCCCATTTTCTATGCATGGGGTAGTCTAATATATTATTTTATCTACTTTATTTTCCCCTTTCAGAAAGTCCTTAGTGCAAACTACCATGGGAATCTAGCCAGAAATGTCTGTCGGATAGTTAGAATGGTAACATCTAAACCTGCCACGAACCAAATGGTACTTACAGGTACCTCTATTAGGGACTCTGTGATACCTAAAATATCAAAAGAAAATGTCTGTCTTTCTGTCCGAATATCTACTTGACTTGGGGTAAGTCACAAATAAAAGTGGGCGTCCAAGGATTTTGCTTTTGGCGAAATCTGATGTCTCCTGAGCTTATTTTCATTTTGTCCTTGGACACAGCATAGTGCTTCCCTAATGTTTCTACATATGACCATGAATGATAGTGTCTCTACATTTAATTTAAAGGTCTAATGGTGACATTTTGCTTATCTGAGTCACATTTTGGTAACATATCATCATTTTGAAAGTACGGCTATGATGTGCTATATTAAATAGGAACAGCCTTTCAGTGGATGGGGATTTTATTACCACAGTCTCTCCATAGTCATTTCAAAATCAATTTGTTGGTGGGAGGATGGATTAGGTTGTGAGTAATCTACTTCCATATATCAGCCTCAGAAATGGAACTATCCTTTGGATGTTACAGGAGACACTGCAGCAGATTGTTTCCAGAAGCTGGAAAAATATGCTCCAGGAGAATTTAATCACTGGGCTTTTGGTGGGGGATTTTTAGTTGGTGGGACTGTCAAGGAAATGTGATGACAGAAATATAATCCTTAAAGCAAACTGGAATCTGGCTTTGAATGGCATCTTCCATTCCCTGGATTGGGCCAAATGTTTGGCCAGTCAGTTATCTAGCTGTTACTGCTGGGATGAAGAACTCTGTTTTCATCAACTACTGTCTCACATTTCTCTGTAAATACTTCCAAGTAGCCCAGAGAAAATTTAGGGTACAGGTGGCTATGGGCCAATTTCTAAATAGCTCCTATTGAAGACATAAATCTGCGGTATGGAAAATGATGAGTTAGTACTATAAGATTCCTGATGAATTTGGAAATTGTTTCAAACCAAAAAAAAAAAAAAAAAAAAGAAAGGCGTTAGAGTCCTGTGTTATTCATGGAGACCAATATTTGATATATCGCTTTGAAAAAAGCAAGTACCACTAGGACTTGGGATTTCCAAATTAAAGTGAGCAGAATAACCACACGTTTAATGGCTTCAACATTAAACCACCTCCTGTAGCATGTTTTAAAAATTGGTCCTGGGCTTTAAAGAGAGCTAAGGCCTTATGGTCTAGGATTTTCCATCTCAGCTTAAGTATACTGTATCCCTACTAATAGGCTATCAGGAAGTAGAAAAGTAAGTGATCTAGTCCTGGTCTGAAGAGCCACATAACTTTAACAGAGATAAAAATATGCACCTATAGAAATATCATTTCTACAAAGCCTACTGAGACAGCACTGAAGAGGCAGCTAGCTTGGCTGACTCCTCTGTGTTTGTTTCTTTGTGTCATGGCACTGACTGCTTCGAGATTCCATTTTTAGAGGAGGTTGATAGAGGAATGGAAAATGAAGAGTTATTAAAAGACAACATTCTATAACCTGAAAGGTAATCATTTTTGCAAGCTTATATTTTAATATTGTGCATTTAACAAAATAGAACACAGTCATATTCAAGGACTTCTTAAAGAATAAGAGAGAAGATTAGTAAGCCAAGAATGAAATAAATACCATGACAGGAATTTTGCTTTCAGAGTTTATGTTTCCTCTGTAGATGTGATAACCAAAGACCAATGCAAATTTTGAAATAGAATTTAGCTGGCAAATGGACAGTGATGGAAATTAGTAATGACTGATGGAAAGCCGTACATACCTGTTGCTCCATATCCTTTCAGAATGGCCACTTTGGCAGATCTACCTGCGCTAGGAGCTCCTCAACATCATTTCATTTTCGTTTGGACCTCGTGAGAGTCCCTTTGCCTAACAAATTTCTGAAATTTATTTATTTACTAGAACCCTCATAATATTCATGACTTAAAAAACATAACACAGCATCTTTATTTTTATTACATGTCAATTTTATTAATAATATTTAGGGGTTTTTTAGTTGTAAAAATGGCACGTGCTTTTTATAAAATGTTTTAATACCACAGATGAGTATCACATCCACCGTCAAGGCATCCCTTTGTTCTGGTGTTGTGCCCCACTTCCCAAAAATAAATGCTGATGAATACTGTTGCTTGTACGTGATGTCAGAAATACTCCATCCATTCATACACAAGCATGTATGTATATACGTGTATACATTTACACACATATGTAGACATTTATTTATATACACATACAAGTATGTATACTATATTCATGTATATTGCATAGGTTTAGAAAAGAGCAAACATTTTAAAAGCATGCTGATCATTTGTATATGTGTAGTGAACACCAACAGGCAAAGACAGGTTAAACAGAAAATTTCCATTTTTTTTTTTTTTTTTTTTTTTGTTTCTACCATTGCTAGGCTTAGATCTGTCTTGGCATTACTACAATTGCACTTGTCATTTTCTATTACCTGTGTCATAAAATTCATGACCAAGAGTTCCTGTAATTGTTTATGTTGGCTTCCTTGAAGCATAAAACCTACCATAGCCCCAAGACTTATCTATGCTACGTTTGGATTTCAAGTAAAGGAGAGTTCTTTCCTCTGTGATGCTTACACCACTTTACAAGGCTGTTTGTAACACTAACACTCAGTAGGTTGCCTAATGATATTTAATTAGGGCAGGCTACTGCCAGGAAGGTGTAGTAACTTCAGTGTAGCATGGGGTCTGAGCAGCTTGTCTTCCTTCCAGAAGGAGTAGCTAATGAAATCACTGAGAACAGCATGATATTTTATTCAATGATGCTATTTAAAAATGGGACTTTGTTAAAAGGGCTCATCATAACCATCAAATAAAACTACTAATTGCTCTATTTAAATGAATTATGTTCATTTTAGGAAAAGAAGCAGAAAAACATCTAATAAATTAGCCTTCTGATTAATCTTTAACACTTATTTAATATAAAATGGCTTCTGCCTGCATCTTCATTGAACCACCTTTGAATCTCTCAACTCCTTTCACTCTGAATCTCATACTCAGCTGATTAGAAGTCCTACAGGCCCTTCTCTGCCAGATCTCTCAGATCAACTTGGACCCTACCCTTTTCTGTGTCCCAGTCATCCTTCATCTCTTATCCCTCTAAGTTTTGGGCCATAGCAACAGTCCTGCCCCTGGACTTTCTGCCTACTACTGTCAATAATTTTGTCACACAGCTGCAAAAATCTTCCCCAGATATTATGCTCAAAATAGATAAAAATGAAATTACCCTCTGGGACAAGTATACCTTTACTTAAAGGACACATACATGTCCACTGACCTTGATCATCTTATAGAATTACAGCAAGCATGATTCTGAAAATCTATCAGGTTTAGCAAATATCTGTCTTAGTCACATGAGGGTACACAATCATGGCTGCTGCGTCCACATTCAACAATGTAAGCCACATGCCTCTTTGACGGCACTTGGAGGACTAGGTTGTATATTTTACACTTCTGAGGGCTATCTGTGGATTTTACACTGTCTTCTCACAGCTTAATGAGAAACCTGAAAATAAGAACCAAGAAAAGAGTCATGCCCTTGGACAACCTGCTCTCCCAGGACACTGAGATTTACTGACCAGGTCCCAGAAAGAAAGCAGAAAAAAATAATTCTTAGGCTCTTGTAGCATAGATTTTAAAGTAGAAATGTGAAAATTGGTATCTTCATAATGCATAGACTCCAGAGTCTATTTACTTTTGTATTCAGTTATGCATGTAATCATATGTCCATGAATCAGTCATACGTGCATGTATTTAATCATTATTTGAAAAATCTTTGTCACTCTGATGCAGGCATCATACTAAGGATATAACAATGAATGCAATAGACAAAACTCTGGATTTCATGAAGCTGGCATCTAGAAGAAAAGACAAATTCCCATGTGATAAGTGCAGTGCAGGAGAACCCCAGGGTGTCCAGCATGGGCTGGAAATTCAACCAAGGCTTTATTGTACCAGCCACTCATTAGCCAGCAATGATTTTGTTCAATGAAAACATAAGTAGGAAGATAATAATATTTTGCATTTCCATTTTATTGGAGTCATAGTAGATTTCTAAAAATGTATCTGAAACTAAGATTTTAAACAAGACTTAGAAACACTATTAAAATGAAAGCTAAGACTCATTTATTCTAGCTTTCAGGATAGAACTAGGAAAAATAAGCAGTTTTCACTGGGTTTTGACTAAATATAAAGAAGATGAAGTATAAATAATATGTAATAGTGGAGTGGATATCACAGTGTTGTAAACTTTCAGCCTCTGGTAGCATTTAAACAGAGGATACCTGACCATTCTGAGGGCTGTTGTGATTAGGAATATGTGATTTGAGAGGGCTGAAATTAGATGCTGTGATTTTTCAAAAGGAATTTTTTAGTGGCTTTGTTGAATGCAGGATTTTATTTTAAAAACTTATGAAAATCTTGATTTTTGATTTGTTAAACATTGCTTTATAACTGAGAATTTTTAAAATATCCAGGGGAATGGCATTAGTTATCAATTTTAAAAATTTTAAGCATGAATTTAAGAGCTAGTGAAAAGAAAATATACTAAAAGGTGTAATTTAATTAAAAATACTTCTGGAAGTTTATAAATTTTGATCAGTATTCTTAGTCATTGTCAAGTAAAATTCTATTAGAAATCTGTCTTACTGTCCATCCAATATAAAAAAAGTGCTGTGGTTTGATATTATAAGAGTTAAGTGTAATCTAATATAAGTACAGAAGAAAATTCTGCCTGTAAGATATTTCGGAGCCAAGTAAATGTACATGAAAGGCAATCATGGAAAACTCCTTGGCTTCTACCACCAGCGTAGCAGCCACAAGGGAGGTCCCTACCCATGTAAATAAGAAAATAGTGATCCAAGTTTTCACCCAACTTTTTAAATTTCAGTATTTTGAGCCAAATGCCTTCTGAAATGGGAGGCTTTGATAGTGGGAAATACTGAAATTATCTTTTTCCTCAAACCTTTAGTGAAACACACATATAGTTTTCACTCTATAACAGTTTAAACAACTCAAATCTATACTGTTTGTTAAGAACAATTTCAAGAATTAAAAAGTGCTTTAGCATTATGATGTATTGACACGTTTGAGATTCAGTTGGGGTTCAAAACAATCCCAACTAGGTGAATAATGCAGATAAGACACTTTAGATGAATAAACTGAATCTCAGAGCAGTGAATTCAGCCTGTGCAGCTTCATATAGCAAATGATAGTGCTGCAGCCAGAACTGGGTCTTTAGAAATTACATATTAACATGTTTTCTAAGTAAGTCATTTTCCATCATTGCCTTTAAGGATGTTTTTTATCAATTGTTCAGATTTCCATAACATAGAAGATGCCTCCATGAAAAAAAAAAAATGTTTACCTAAGGTTCCACGGAAAGAATGAGTTAGAAATAAGGGAGAATATGAAATCAAAAAGTCAAGTTTTTGCTATCGGAGAGAGGCTTGTCAGCTTATACATAGTTCAAGGAAAGAAAAGTCTAATGTTTGCATACCAGGTTGGATTTCAAGAGAAGAAATTAACAGTGAGCATTAATGGCTTCTTTAATTTATTTGTGATTCTCAACATTTAAAAAATGTTAGTCCTATTTTTCTTCCTTAGAAGTCACTATTAGGATGATATAATTTCAGAATGCTGCAACAAAAAATGTTGAAGATGGCCCCGACATCCAAGACTCTATTGCTCTAAGTTTATGGGTGGGTATGTGAGCTAAGTGTTATGGTAATACATAGTCACATACATAGAGGCTTAATACACCTATGGAAAATTCTGGCGTATTTGAAGTAGAGAAAAACAAACAGGCTTGAAATGTCCTTCAATTCAGAATCTCATACTTTAAAACGGGCATTTATAGGCAGATTGGTGAATATGTAGAAGGAGGATATTTGATCTGGAAAGAAGATAAAATTGGATTAGGAATAGAAATATGTAGAGGAGATAGGTTAAGTAGGACTGTTAGTTTCAAGTTCTGCAGGGAAGATGATTTGTAGAATAAAAGAACAATAACACATGAAAAGGAGTTAGCTGTATTACTTATAAGTATTTATTTTTCCTAAACATTGCATCCAGAAAAACAGATTGGACTTTCTGGAAAACAGTGAAGTTGTTATCACTGTTTATTTTAGTAGTTCAGTGAAGATTGAACGACTAACTCAAAGATCAAAAGTAAATCTTTAATTGTGAGAGATCTTGGACTAGAAAAACTCTGTGAGATTTTCTTGGTTTAAATGTCTGTAATTTTCGACTGGAAAAGAACTCAATTCAAGTCTGTTTTTTTTTTTCCCCAGGGTCCTGTCAAATACATAGCAATGAAGGAATTTTTTTAAAAAGCTTCCATCATTGCCAATATATCCCAAATCATTTAGTAGCAGGGATTTCATGACCCTAAAAAGTTGCCTTGCTTACACAAACACACTTTGCTTTAGTAGAAACATATCTTTTTTAGGAGATTTGGGAATTGGCTAACATTTTTGTCAATTGTTAGCCAATTTAGGAGATTTGGGAACTGGCCAGCAATTGTTAGCCAGTTCCCAAATCTCCTAAAAAAGATATGTTTCTACTAAAGCAAAAAGGTAACAAATTCAGGAGTTAAAGTGAAAAACAAAGGATTTACTGTTCTTTCGCCTACTTACTACCCATTTGTTGTTTGGGGTGTAGAGTCAGGACTGGAGAACACGGTGGGAAATTCTATATCCTCTACAAATACAGAGGCATGGAGGCGCCTTCTATAACTTTTTGTCATGAAACAAGACTTAACCCCATATCAGTAGACTAATGTTTCTGTCATATTTCTGTTTAGGTGGATTACAGCTTTAATTACCCATCATCCCTTAATTCTGTAATACAGCCTGAGTTCCTAGATTTCAGGTTGACTGGGTGAGGGAGGAAGTCACTTGAGATAATTTTAAGAAACTAGTCCATATCCAGAGTCTTGCAGAAAAGACCTGCTTTTGCTCCACCTTCTTTCTTGTTCTACTTCTTGCCTCTGGTTTGGGGGAATAAAAGAGGTGAGAGTTATGAGGAAAGGAAAAAAGATTCTCAAAAGTAGTACAATAAGAAGACTCTAGTATTAACACAAATTCTCATGGTAATATCAAATAAATGACTGATAGTGTTAGCAGATATTGAAAATCAAACTCAGGAAACATACAGAAAGATTAAACTTGTTCAAAGTGGCTTGAACGGGTATTGTGAAAATTTCAGTTTATGCAGCATGGAAGAATTAGATTATGTGTGGAACTTGGGGGAAGCAGGGTCAGCTAATAGAAGAACTTTTTAATGGAGCTTTCCAAAGGACGAGGTGGTTTTTGGAAGGAGTTTGTCCAACCTCTTATAATACGTTACGCCTGTCCACAAACTTGTTCTGGTCCCTGATAAAGTTTGAAAAAAGTAAGGAATATTTAGGGAGGTTTTTTTTTCCCCCCACAAATGTAAATATATTCACTTAAATATTCAGAGACTGTGACCTTGTTATTTTGGGTTTAAATATAAATTTTCCTCTTAAAAATGATAGATATATGTTTACAAATTGTCTTTACTCTTTACTTATAAAACACACACAGATACGAAAGTCCTGTCAGTTTACCCTATTTTTTGTTTCAAAATTTATAGGTAATTCTCACAAATGTGTTGGTGAGGTTTATCACTTTTCAGATACCATCTAGCCTTGATATTTATTGTACCTTCTATATGCACCCAAATGGTTCCTGATCTCCTAATCTTCTGGAGATCAAATAATTTTTATTTGCCACTCTCTCCACCCATCATTGGTTGAATTGAGACTCTAATTACATACAACAATAATTTCCAATGCAAGTAGAACTTTGATGCTCTCCCTGACTTACCGATGATAAGTTGGGAAAGTTTGGATTCTTGCCATCCTGGGGAAGGAGGTTCAGAACTCTCATAGACAAAATATTCTAACACAACAGAATATTTTGCAAGACACATCTTTGAAAAGTTAGGGGCCAGCAAAGGTCTCAGCAAAGGTTAGCTTGGCTGTTTTTAAAAATTACCAATAGTTGAGTGGGCCACCATGAATCTGAGTATTATACAGACCGCAACTGATTGAAAGTGAGGAAAACCATTCTTGTGAAAAATTAAGGAATAGAGGACAATGTTGGTTCTAAAAGAATGAATATATTTGATTTAATTTGATTTCTGAGTGGGAAAAAGTTCCCAGGCATCCAGGGTACCCTTGGCTGTGGGTATTCCACTCGCAAAGGCTACATCTGTATGAAGAGTTGCAGTCACATTATAAAGGGCTTTTTCGTGATTTCTGATTCTGCCCTATCACATCCCAGAACCAAGCTTTTTCAAAACTGCCAGCTAGCAGGTGGAATCCATAAACGAGTAGCAGCTGTGGCAGTAGAAAGATGAAGTTTTATTTCCAGGTAAAGTAGGATTCAGATAATACGAAGTGGAGGGAGGGTGGGTTGGGGGGGTGGGTGGGATGGGAACGGGAAGAATGAAGTTTTTTTGTAACAAAGTCATAAAGTATTTTTCCCTAATTTTCTTGCATTTCCTATTTATATAAAGTATCTTGATCACTGTGTTGCTCTACAGAGATTTTCAATGGATTTAATTTGGGAGACTGAACTAATCTCTGAAAAAGAAATTGACTAGTTACAGTTACTTTTTGGACACTTTTTCTGTATTGTGAATTGTGTGGAAATGTACAGAATAAAAATGAAGAAATGTAGTTCATTTGTTTATTTTTTTCTGGATCCTATAAGTAGTTGGTGCAAATGCTATTTTTAACTATAGTTAAGTTAGACTTTCAAAATCATGAGGTAAAGAAAAAGTTGACTATTAGAGCAGGCAGAGACTAAATGGGGTCCCTGATAAGGCAGGAGGTTTTTTAAAAAACTAAGACTTCTGCTTCCGAAATGGACTAACAGGCCATATTTGCCCTCCCACCAGAATTTTTTTAAACCATAAACGTGTATATATAAAACAATGATTGTAAAGACACAGGACCTTGGGGAGGGGGAGAAAGGCAGTGATTCCTGAGAGATGGAAAGCAAATGATATAAGCCCTTTAATCACCTCATTTTATAGACTTCAGAGAGTTTGTAGATAGTGATTCAGGGAGGGCTAATTTAGGAAGACCTAAGAAGTTCATGAGTTGAGATAGAGCTGAAAGTTTGGGAAATAGAGGCAGCTAGAGCTTATAAGAGATGAGTATCAGAGAGGGGAGAACCGTACAGAGAAGTAACCCCACAGATCTACAGCGACTTCCTCTTAAGTATTCAATAAAGTATTGATCAGTATATGTATGTGAAGAAACTACTTGAGACTGGAGAAAGAGCCATCCAAAATGATCTGAGGTACAGTGTCCAGTGCTCACAAAGGATTGAGAGTAGTGCCTATTGCCACTCGTCACACTAGAAAACCTCGTAATTTGTGAGGCGCTCAACCGGGTCTTGACTCACCTATGAGGAATAATTCACCATAGACTAAATGTTGCTCTAAGACTGCCTAATCATAAAAGTAGGAGCTGAAAAGACAAAATTGTTTCCAAATAATTGGATCTTATCTTTAAACAAATCCCAAGGATATAGAGGAATATAAATTCACCTAGCATGCAAAAAGAAACATTCACAACATCTGACATCCAATATATAGTCATCCAAAGAAGCAGGAAAACATGACGTATCAAGAGGAGAAAATTAGCCAACTGAAACTAACCCAGAATTGACACAGATGTTAGCATTAGCAAAAATATTAAAATATTTATATTCCAGATGTTCAAACAGTTAAAGACACGAAAAATATAAAAGAGACCCAAATGAAATTTCTAGACATAATTATAATATCTGAGATTTAAAATACACTGCTAAAGTTTAAGAGCAGATCCGGACACTACAGAAGAAGAGATCAGTAAACAGAAATGTACCAATAGAAAACATCCAAAATGAAACATGGAAAAGGAAAAACTTTTTAACTATGAAAAAAATGCATTAGTAGAATATGGGACAACTTCAATTATTTTAATATGCAAGTAATGGGAGTCCTAAAAGAAAAGAAGAAAGAGGGAGGATATAAAAACAATTTGAAAAAAAGTAATTTCTGGGAATTTTAGCACTTTTACTTTAAAAAAAACTATACAAATTCAATAAACTCAATGAACTCAAAACACAAGAAACATGAAGAAAACTAGATAAAAATATCCTGTAACTGGTCAAAACCACTGCCAAAAAAAAAAAAATCTTATTAAAAGCCAGAGGAAAAAAACACTAAAATAAGAATACCGGTAGATTCCTTATCACAAATAAAGCAAAAAGAAAAGGGAGCAACATCTTTAAGGTACTAAAAGAAAAAAGATACTATAAAACTATAATTCTTTAGCAACAAAACTATCTATAAAAATAAATGTAAAATAAAAACCTTTACAGATATATAAAAGTGGAAAGAGTTTAACATCCACAGACCTGAACTATAAGAAATGTTAATGAAAGTCCTTCAGACAGAAGAAGACTGTTACCATATGAAAATACATATCGACATAAAGGAATGAGGAGCAATGGACATTGTAAGTATTTGAATATATATATATTTTTTTCTTATTGTTATATTTTAAATAAATGACTTTAAAACAAAATATTGACAATATGTGGAATTTGAAAGTAAAGTATATGACAATAGTAACATAAAAGAATGGCAGGGAGAAACAGAAGTGTGTATAAGATTTTTACATTATTCATGAAGTGGCATAATATTACTTGAAGGTAGACTGGGATAAGTTGAAGATGTATCCTATAGCTCTGCAAGTGGAGAAGCTGAGAAGTCCCATTGATTTAGGGACAGTTCCCAACAATCCAGCCACCAGTGCACAGGTTGTTAGAAAAACACTGACTGATGGAATGGGTTTTCATGAAAAATATCCGAGTGGAAGCCTCCAGGGTTTCATTTCTCTACTGAAACAACCTGTAACCTTGGGGACAACTTACAAGAATCAGCTATTTCAGAACTCTGGGACCTGATCAAACACAGCAACTAGGGGAATGATTGAGGAAGAGAGAGCCTGCTGAAATTTGGGATATGCAGAAACCTCTTTCAGACCACAGGCTGATGGCAAAGACAATGAATATTGGGACTTCAGTTACCACACACTAAGGAATACAGACTTTGAAAAAATGGTTTGGAAAATTCATCATACAAACAGATTAATACAGCTCACAACAAGCACAAGAAAGTAGTTTCTGAGGATGGAGAAAATCTGATTTCCAGAGTTACCACATTACATTACTGAAAATGTCCAGTTTTCAACAACAACAATAAAATTGAAAAACATAAAAAGAAACTTTCACTTCTTCACTTAATTAACCTTAAAAAGAAGAGAAAATGATAAATTAAAAAAATATGGATTATTCACAGGGAAAAAAAGAATTTGACACTATCCCTGAGGAAGTTCAGATATTAATATTTATTAGTGGTAGAAGTCAGGTGTGTTAAATATGCTCAATGACTAAAGAAAACCAACAGAAGTAAAGGAAATTGTCAGAACAATGTAAGAACAATGAGGGAATGTCAATAAAGAAAAAGAAATTTTAAAAAGGAACCAAGTAGAAATTCTGAAGCAGAAAAGCACAATAGCTGAGATGAAAATTTCACTAGAGGGGTGCAGTAGAAGATTTTGGCAGGAAGGCAGAGGAAATAACCAGCAAACTTGAAGATGAGACAATGAAAGTTATCCAGTCTGAGTAGCAGAAAGAGAAAAATGAACAAAATCTGAGGGAACAGTGAGATGCCACCAAACTTACCAAAATTTGCATGATGGGAGTCCCAGAAGGAGAATACAGAGAGAGAAAGGAGCAGAAAAAATGTATTTGAAGATGTAATGGCTCAAAACTCCTCAAATTTGATGAAAGACATGAACATATACATCAAAATAGCTCAACAAACATCAAGCAAGATTAACTCAAAGAGATTGACACCAAGACATATTGTAGTCAAATTGTGCAGTCTTGAAAACAACAACAAAAATGACTTGTCACATACAAATGAAATTAACAACTGATTTCTAATCAGAAACCATGGAGTCCAGAGGGCAGCAGGATGATGAAGTGCTGGGGAAACAACAACCGAAAGCCTGTCAACCAAGAAGTTTATATCTGGCAAAATTACTGTATCCTTTAAGAATGAGGGAGACATTAAGACAGTACCAGATGCACAAAAGCTGAGAGGTTTTGTTACCAGTACATCTATCCTACAAGAAATCCTAAAGGTAGTCCTGCAGGCCGAAATTCGAGAACAACCAACGGTAACTCAAAGCTATATGAAGAAACAAAGAACACTACTAAAAGTAAATACGTAGATAAATACAAAAGCTAATATCATTGTACTTTGGGTTTATAACTCCTCCTTTTTTC